GGCCAGCCACGCCACAGCTGTCAAGCGCCAACGCCTACCGCTGCCGATCTTTCCTATTGAAGCTTAGCACGGCCAAAGAGGCTTGCGCTTCTTCTAATCTTGGTCTAGCCCCGTGGTTGACGGCCTGTGACAGGTCCGCGGGAGGCCAAGTGAATGCCGGCCGTCGCCAGCCGGGAAAAGACCCTCCTGTCCACCTAGGGATAAGGTAGTCTCGTTCAGGTCACATCAATACGATGCCTTCCAGGTTCTCGATGAAGTGCTCTTATGCGACTTACAACCCATATAAACACCTGTTTTGTTAATATCCATACCGTTAAGAAAAGTCTATGAAACTTCAATAGGTCCCATCGGTCAACCACGCTTATCAACTTACGAGAAATAACCGTCAATCGCCGGGACATGACTTCTCAATCGGACTGGAGAACGTCACTCACCTCAAGCGACCGCTATGACAACATGCAAGCTATGTTAGTATCCGTGTTTCCCCCGGCGCCTGTTATGCCTCATTGCTCATTTTACAGTTCAGAAAGGACGCGCTTGAAAATATAGGTGTCCCAGCCGCTAACGCACAGAAGGATGCGTTTTCCATCGAGAGCGAGGCTCATAAAACATCGTCATCACGAGTAAGATCCCCCCCCACGGTGCTCGTTAGTTTTGGCCGGCTTCGATAGCATGACTCTTACTTAATGGCTTCTCGCGTTCTGCATGCCGGTCACATTGACACCTAAACAGGACCATTATGAAGCAGCATGTCGGGTCGGGCCGCAGCCGGATTCCTCGAGCACGCCCGAGGAAACAGGGGTATTTGATGCCGTAAGCGAATTGCCAGGCTCTCGTGTCATCGCCATAGGGTCTTACCAAGACTGCCAATACATCGGCGATGGAGTCACTGCAGAGGTCTACAGATCCAAAACGATAGCGTTGAAAGTCATCGTGCAAACTCGGAATATCGAGCCTCATGACCCATTCCGGGAGGCCAAAATCCTCAAGTTACTGAAGAAGCCGTGCATCCCTCTACTAGAAACTTTTAGAGACCAAGAGCAACGCTTTGTTCTTGCTTTCCCATACATGCCATTCACCCTAGAGAGCCTCGTTGCACGTGGTCCCATTTCTAGGAGTCGGATATTAACACACTTCAAAGATCTCTTTACTGGCCTTCAGTATCTTCATAGTCAGGGGATAATACATAGAGATATCAAACCCTCCGCAATACTGCTCGAGTCCCCAGATGGACCCGCTTATCTTTCCGACTTTGGCACGGCATGGCACCCAGAGTTGTCAATCTACACAGAACCTGCCGACCAGAAAATCCTAGATATTGGCACAGGTCCCTATCGCGCGCCGGAAGCTTTGTTCGGAGACAAGTCTTACGGCACGGCTGTAGACATGTGGGCAGCTGGTACTATGCTTGCGGAATGCTGTCGCATGCCCCCAAGAACACTCTTTGAATCGCGGCCGGCTCACGAAGATGGAAACCAGCTTGGTCTAATACTGAGTATTTTCAAGAGCATCGGAAGTCCGACTCGCGAGTCATGGCCAGAAGCCGTTGACTTCAAAACGCCTCCCTTCGAGATGTATCAAACCTTTGAGGGGCGAAAGTGGGAGGATCTATTACCAAATGTTGAGGCTGAATTCCTTGATATTGTCATATCACTCGTAAAATACAGCAGTACTGCAAGAGCTTCTGCATCCCAGGTATTTCCCACTGTCGCAACCACTGTGGCGCTAAGTTGCTAATATTTTTATAGGTATTGCAGCACGAATGCTTCTTAAATGCCATTATATAACCCATGTCCTCTTTCGTATCGTGATGACATTGTTGTGTTTTGAGTGGTTCCAACACGCCGACGATCGAAAGCCGTGAGTGGAAATCAAGGGGCGTCGTAGGCTTTATAGCATGACGTTGGCAAGTAGAAGCGTCACCACGATTTGCCCCAATTGTAAACTTATATAAAGTAAAAAAAAATTTATGTTTTTTTTAGTGTTTATATAAAACGTTAACAAAAAACAGTTGAAAAAAATCCTGAAACTAAAACGTAAACTTAAGTTTTTTACTTTTAAAAGTATAGCTTTACGTTATAAGCTTTACTATAAAAGAAAAGTCTTTGCCAGGGTAGCCGACATGCCCCGAGACCTCTTGTCCTCAAGGCGTCTTCCGTGTTGGCTCAGACGCTGTGGTGGCGCTGCACTTGGGTTGTTCAGGAGTTCGTCGTCTCGCCGTCGGCTTCTATTCATCTCGGGGCGGCCTCGCTGCCTCGGAAAGAGGTTATCGACAGGACACACGTATTGAGGCGCAGGCGAAGGCGTTGCTCAAGTTGATGAAGCATGCCTCGGACGTGAGTCATGTCCCGCAAGCGAGATGACAACGTTACTGATTGCCCAATTGACTGTCCGTGGTGCCACCGCTAGTGCTATTCCTGTGGTCAACACCCAAGTCTTAACAGTTTCGCTGCCTGGAACCATCATTGATTGGAAGTAAGTCGTACCATGACACCTCTTGAAAACTTCCGCTATCCAGAACAACACTAAGTCAGTGGCCAGGGAATACTATTATTACAACTCTTCCAAGCTTGCGAAGCCACCACTGAATATTCAAGTTAAAGAGGCTAGGCTCGTCGATAGAATGATCCCATTATCGAATTACACTGTCAGTCCAGACATCCTTGCGTATTGACTTTGCGAATGTGATCACTGACGATGGAGATGATACACGCCGGAAAAACGGGAAAGAGTGTTGCCTGCAGTTACCCCATCGCTCTGGATCTTCTGGCGCCTGTGGAGGCATCCATCCCCGGCGTGATTAGCAACGAGGCCGCAGAAGTCACAGATGAGTGCCTCAAAATCATTCGCGACCGCTATAAGCTGTCCATGGCGTATCTCGCATCCCCAGATGACAGCCCTGGGGGTAATATAAAGTCAAAGGTCGACACGCAAGTGCAGAAGCAGACCGTTTGGGCTAAGGAGGTGGCTGCCTATGACCACACTGAGGCGCAGGCCCTGGAGAGGCGCCAGCCACCACCTGGCACCACTACTGCGCAGGTCCAAGAATCCAAAGAGAAGTACATGCAGTGGATAGAAGAGCATTCCCGGGAGGTGAGTGATATATCGCTAAGTAGGAGAGTACGGTACTGAGGCTTGTGATATTAGTTCAAGAATATGTTCAGGCTAAGTACATGGACTGGGTGGCGTATGGCTCCAAATTCATGGTGAGCATTCTAGCAGTATAGTTACTGAAAGCTCTGGTGCTCATACTTCTTCAGGTCGACCTCCACCTTGGAGTTGTCGACATATCCTCGGGCATGAAGCGTATTGAGAACAGCAAGGAAGCGTACCGAAACCCGACGGTCATTGCTCCCGATGGCTCAAGCGAGTACAATGGGATTGTGCTCAACCCTAGCAGCTGGTAAGCATGACCTTCCAGGGCTTCCCACGAAGGGGATAATGCTCATTGTGAAACTCAAGGGCGACCATCAGGGCTAAGGTTTTAAACTGGAAGAACAACTCGGGTTCATCTCCCGCCCAGATACGCGCCAAACCTCGCCGTTTGCAGAACCTCCTCGTCTCCCACCAGACTTTGCAGAAGGTAGGATCTGATATGAAAGCAGCAGCTGCCTATCATACTCCCTGCGACCTGAGCTGATCTCGTCAGGCTATTGGCGAAATTGCATTCTCCCCCGTTCTTGCGAGCAACAAGGACGTAAGCCAGGGAGAGCTGCAAGCTGCCTACGCGGAGGTCTACGCCAACATGGACGACGAGAACAAGAAGCTCCTTACCGAGAAGAAGGAAGGCGTATCGCCGCCCGCTGACGATGATTTCAAAGCTGCTTAGCCGAAGAAAGAATTCAACGTTGAGAGCTGTCTGCAAGGTGTGCTCGCCCTGGACAACCTTATCAAGAGGCAGAGGGATCACACTGAGAAGAGCCTCAGTGGCACAAACGCAACCGTGCGCGACACCGAGGGAACGAACAAGGTTAAGGCTGACCAGTGGTTGGGCACCAGAACCAGTCAGCTGAAGGCGGATATTGACGAACTTAAAGAGTAGTTCGGCATGATAAGAGTTCCTAGAATGCTCGGGCTCAGCTCCTTGCCCTTCCCGTCATGAACGAAAATGGCAATGACACCGTCGTGACGGACAGCGAAGCCAGGGCCAACCCTAGTAAATCGCCTCCCTCCTCTCTTTGCCGCGGTGCGACTCTGGACTCACGGTTGAGATGGCAACGTCCCTAGTTCCACGCGGAGCGTTGCGCTGATGCGGAGCTTGACTCTAGAAAATAAGTCTTCAATCCCTTCCTCTATGGTTGCAACCGAAGAACTCTTCTAACTTTGTACCCCACTACAGCCTCAAGATCTCGCCCAGTGAAGAGGCGCTTAAGAGGGTATTTGAGAGGGAACAGAACATCGATGGCGAGTACCAGCAGTTCTCCTCATTCCCAGCTGCATTCGTTGTCGCTGCCGATGTCGAGCTCAGTGTGAGTCACTCATCAACCTGAGCCTTTTCGAAGTTCAATCTTAACAGGCTTCTTTAGTCCCCTGGAGGCATAACTAAGTTCGAAAGGGCTGTCTCTGCATTGTCTGCCTCAGCCAGCCTTTCCGTCGGTTATGGCCCTTTTGTATTTTCTGGGTCCTATAGCTCTCCCAAGTCCAAGTCCCGAACCAAAATGGAGTCCGCCGCGACTGGTTGCAAGTAAGTCACACCTTCAGCATATTACTCGCCAAGAATGGTAGTAAGTAACTGGGTAACATTCTGAAGAATCTCTGTCCAGGCTCCGCAGATTGTTGGCTGGGTTCAGACCCTCCTGCCTCAGCTGCCTAAGCCCAACACTGGGGTCAGCACCATGACAGGTCCTTTCGGCTAGGTGACGCCACAGATATCTGGAACAGCTCTCACCAAAAGCACCTCGCATGACGCATTCCAATAGAGCCGCCGCGCCGTCACAATGAGTCAGCAAGCGCTGTTATACCGAGTGTTTAATATTGGCATTAATCGTTTTCGTGAATATCTCCCAGTGGCGTAGTTGGCTAACGCGTTCGGCTACAATAGTTACTTTGTTACCGAAAGACCTGTTCGATTCATGTCTGGGAGAGTCTATACTCTTTTTCTCAGGCTAAGGTATTTTTAATCGAATAAAAACCATAGCATCAAGGTGGTGGTGGTGGTGGTGGAACTTTTAATGGCATGGCTGGCCTTAGGGGCATATGCTGCGCTAAGGCTATATATACGCCGTTTATATATATATACTTATGTTACGTTAAACCCACTTCCTTTGGTAGTGATGAATAACAAGCAATTGTTAGGCTGTTTTCTTCCATTTTAGAATATATAGGTATATTAGTAGCTATAATATCACATTATTCTATAATATAAGATTCGATTAATTAAATGTGACATAAAGTGACAGCTACAGACGATGAAATTCGATGTTGCAGCTCTATTTGTATCCGAACTAATGCTGTCCATTGGCAAAATATATATGATAATGACAACCTCGTGAAATCATTTATGAACTCCGCCATCCTCCAAGAATCGGGTATTTATAGCTTGTTCACAGTGATAAACAAGGAACTTCATTACACTAAGCGCAAAATGATAGGTTCGTCCGCCAACGAGCGCTCAATGCGTCTTTTTGAGCCTGCCATGGTTGACCAGCTCGATCTGTTTATCAAACCAATCCTCGTGTCTTCAAAAGACTCAAGGCGCATAAATGTCACGGAGCAAGTAACATACCTTGCTTGAGACCTCATTGCTCTACTTTTCTTACGCTTTCCTTGAAGCGCCCTATGGAGAAAATGATCGGAATTCGCCGGAACTTCTAATTGAGGCTCCTTTAATCTACAAATCCTGCAATGAGAGAATAGTTGAATTATAGAGGCACCGACTTTATTCTAACATCATCCTAAAGGCATTTAAGTTCACTAAACATAGTTGCCTTTAAACTGGCTTTACTCCCTGCTAAAAAATAATGCGATAAATACGCTTAATTCTTAGGTGCGGCTAACCTGCCTAGGCCCGCAAAGACACAATCATTGACGCTAGACATAGAGGAGTCGCTGCTCGAATTATTTCGGAGCTCTCGAGGGTCGGTACGGTAGAATGCGAAATAGTCGTAGCCTAGGTCGTTATGATACCGCTCGATCAAATGAGAAAGTAGCGGCGCGGCGAGGAGAACGATATCGAACCGTGTGCGTAGAATCCGCGGCGGAATGGAAGGCCGGTTCTCGTCGTATGCCTCTGTGAGTGTGGGAACTTTCCCCGTCGCCGCGAGGCCTATTTCTTCCGCCATCCAGAAGGCGAAGACGGATCGGCCGTGCCACCGTTGATAATCATCAACCAGCTTGGCGAGCCTCTTGTACCGCCGCAGGACCCTTTCGAATTGGAACTCGAGGATGTGTGGGGGGAGAACTGGAGGTGGGCGTGGTCGGAAGAGAAATGCCGGGATTTCAATGATTGCGTCTGGTATTCTATCACAGAAGTCGAGGGGGTCCGGGAACCTTACAGAGTTTAGGCTGTCTGCGTCTTCCAGCCACTCTCCGATCGATAAGCAAGAGCTCAAAACGCTTTTTGGATTTGGTAGGCTGCTAGGTCCTCGAGGAGGCCCCTCCATGTGTAGCATATAATCATCATAAATTGTCAGGCTCGTCAGGCTTGATCTTCGGCTTGAGGTGATAGAATTATTGTGAGATTGGTATGAAGCCTCAGAACTGAGCCTTAAGGCGGGCCTGACCGTCTCTGAGAGAGATTGCAACAGGTTTTGGCGTTGGTCATAATCTGTACAGGAGATAGATAAGTTTTGAGGATTTCTTAGTCGTGGTGCTAAGTTAACCCGCTCAATATCTCCATCACTCATGTGCTTCCTCTTCCGCGGGTTTGGGGTGGTCTCTGACACTGACGCATGGGGGTATTGAGAAACTGAGCTTCGATGCATAGACATCGCGCTTGAGTTTTCTTATCCAACTGGGCCAACGTCAATCGGATGACAAGAGTATGATACTTCAAACTGACTCTTGATTGCCAGTGTCAATAGCCCTGTTCGAGTATAAAGACGAGAAATCGATTGTAGGTGTAAGGTCAGAGGACTAGCTATTTCAGAATTCAATCCACATACCATCAACTTAAACTCCGTTTATTTAAGCTCCAAACCACCTGCACCCATCTATATAAATTGTTTCTAACCCTATCACTATAAGGCTAGATAGAATGCACAAAGACTGGTAATTCATCTGCAACTGTGAAGGTGTCCAAATCAAACAAACTATATCATCCCACCACTAACAATGGATAAAGAACAAGATCTAACCTTTTGTCATACGAACTATGGCATTGGTGACAAAGCCTTTGAAGTAGCGCTATGCCGCCTGACCGATTACATTGAGCATACGCTACTTGGCTTTGTTCTTTATCCGCCTGCATTTCTGATACACCGCAGATGATGCAATAGAGACAAGACCAGAAGCGCATAGTGAATGGTTCTGATGTAAGACTGCGTCCAATTTAGCATGTGTTTGAATAGTACATGTGGAGAGGCGTTTGTATCTCCGAAGTGTACGCAGGATGTTACCAACTGGACTATTATCGCGACAGGACTGTTCCTGATCACTAATTTTACCATATAAAATCCTTTTTGAGACGGTCGCTAGCCAGTATTACTGTCGTCATTAACGGTCTTTGAAGGTCCAGGACTACCGGTGCTATGCACGCTCATGGTAGGGTAGGCTTAAGAGGTCGCAGCCCATTATCTGGTGCCCTAAGCTGACCCTTGCTGCCAGCAGGCTACCTATATGAACATCAAGCTAGGTATGGTGACAAGACGGCTCATTCCGAATCAACACATCTAATTGGTTCCTTAGTAGATCTACTGCAGGGGAAAGGGACCCGGGGAATATCCCTAAGGAAGAATGAGATGCTGATTATCTCAATATATTTACTCACTGCCTCTCACGCATACGTTCTCGTTTCGTGATGATTCCGTTTACGCTTTCACTCATATGCATCCGTTTCTGACTCTTCGCAATTCAAATACACAAATTTTTTTTTCTTTCACCCACCCAGTGCCTCTGCGCCAGTTGAAACCACACACCACTTCGATATTCTCTCGTATTAAAGACATGATGTATTGTTGGCTCTGATCTGAATACCTTATAGCCGTTACTTTTTCGAGAATGTTGAAGTAGGCCCACAAGCGTGTAATAAATGCATTTTGAATTCTCCGTATTCTGTAATACACTCTGCTTAATTGCTCTCTCACTTGAAGAATCAGGTCTAAAGGAAGAGGTGAAAGAAGAAAAAGAAGGTAAAAAGCATGTCATATTATATAAATTAGTATTTAACTATTTCAACTCTGTTTATTTGCTAAGTTTGAAAAAATTTGACTTAGAATCGCAGCAATTCATAGATGTTAGCGTAGTGTATCTTTGTGTCTAGCGGGCATCTAGAACTTCGTTTACAGATGGCCAAAAAGGGCAACCATCCGGCGCCCAATCACCTGATCATGCACGCCGGAGTAATGCGGTTCCAAAACCCGGGGAACAGCAGTAAATATAACTGGGACGTTGCCTAAGTCTGCAAATACTAACCCTATGCATGTAGCAAAATCGGCGCATGACGGGAATACGACGTCCCGCAAACATGCGGATGTCACCGTTGGACCGGAGATACTACGGTGCGCGGTATGCAGCCTGAACTTAACAAGAAATTGGCCTAAAAACGGGGCTAACTGACGATCATCAGCACGGCGCAAAATCGAGAAGTCTCATTGTGGTATAAATTACTTTAATAGCAATTGCACGTGGTATGTCGCTGCTTATCAAAACCCGACGCTTTGACATCAAGCCTCTTGCGGCGACTTCCGAAACGTTCCGTACCACTCCAGCAGTCGACGGATTCAGTTGCGGGCCCAGGCACTGTCGGGATTACCTCGCGAAACTCTGTTTTGCGGCCTTATTCGCATGGTTTGTCCACATTGTGACACGGTGGGTCGGTGTGGATGTCTTAACGACGTCACACCCAGCTCGCTGTTTTGTCGTCTCTACTGTATAACCGGTAGAATAAATAAGTAGAGCACTCTGCTAGGGCTCGCGCTTGGGTACAGTATAGTGGTATTAGAACCAGTTGTAATTCAGCTTGCCAAGAGTTGCTACGCGGGACGGTTGGCCCCTGCTACCGGAAACTCCATGTATGACGCTTTTCGCGGTTTCGGCATCGAGCATAGTCCAACCGTGGCTGTGGCCATCTGTGAACCAGCTACTAATAAAAGATTACCAGAGGGGATGGATGGAACGGCTAACCGGGTAACCGGTGCTACTGGGTTCGGTTACGAAATCAGTGTAATGGTTGGTCATCAATTGCGCAAAGAGCAGTCTAGGGCCCGCCGCCGTCACTACACTAAATCAAACAGGTGTACAGTAGTCCCGGAAGGGTATGGAGAAAGGTCGCTGGTTGGTGGGTGTTGAGGGAGGGTGATAATCCGATCAAGTCATAACGTGTATATATATAGTCAATTGCCCCTGTATTGCCCCATTTTGCAACTTCGCACGCAATCGCACGCCATACTTGCCATATCCAATCAGGCTCTTAATAGACTCCACGAAACAAAGCGCCGCCACTATGAAACGCGAAATTGATACCGTCCCAACTCCGGCGAATGTAAAGTCGAAGAAGCTACTCGTCTTGAGCGCGCCGAGGTCGGTGGATCGCATGCAATACAATTCTCCATTGCGCGCATCACTGTCTGACTAAGCGTGTAGGACAGGCACTCATGGCCTCTACCTGGCGCTCAAACAGCTTGGCTTTACGCCGTACCATATGGCGGAGGTGCTCGCCACCGGTGCCCCTGCTATCAGGCTCATGACGGACGGTATGAATGCCGAGATGTTCCACGAAGGAACACCCTGTAAGTGAATGCTTCATCTTTCACAACCACTCGTAGCGCATCATAACACGCAGAATGCGGACTTAGTACTTGGGATTGACATGGAACTATAGATGGCAAGGCAGAGTTCGACAAGTGGTTCGCGAATTATGATGTAAGAGCCCATGGCCCAAATGAAGAAGGTGACTTGTTTACTGTTCAAAGGTCATAATAGAAAT